ATCAGTTCCACGAGACCTGCGACTTGCGTTTAATGTAAAACGGCCTTTGAGTTCCACTTTTGTGGAAATACGGCTAAAACCAGCGGCTGAAACCGTCGTAAAAAATTACTATAGGATGGCCGCTCTCAGGTTTCTCTCTGTATCTACGATTAACTTACCGATCGATTGCGAGTCAATTGCGATTGGTCAATTTAGTCAATCGACCAATATGATTGGCGATTCCAACAAAATAATCGACCGATTAATTTAATCGGAGATGGTGAAAACGGGTCTTATACCTTCTTAAAGCTTAAGTCTTACGGCTTAAATTCTCATTGTAGACGACGCCTTAAGAGCCGTCTACAATGGAGAGTTGTAGGCCGTAATAGTAAGAAATTGATCAATCACAGGCAAAGTACAGAAGAATAATCGATTGTGATTTGTCAATTTCTTACTGTTACGGCCTACAACTCTCCATTGTAGACGACCCTTTAAAGCCTAGAGTTCTCTTCTAGGTTAAATGAGCCGGAGTGCAGCACAGGCTACACTTCCTGGGTGACGAGTTTAGAGAAAACACGGGACGAGGCAATCTTTTTCGAGCGTTCATCCAGACCACGGTTGCTTTCCAACTACGTACACAGTCGACACTGTGCAACACAGTGTCTATTAGTGTGAGAAAGAGCATATCAGTGGTCTCACTCACGCTAGTGGACACGGTGTTAGACAGTGTCGCCTGTGTACGTAGTTGGAAAGCACCCTTTATCTTTATCACTCTCACTAGATATGAAACAAAGATCAAATCACACACTTTGAACTCGGTCGGATGGGGAATCGAAACACAGCCGAGTCACTCCGTACCATCGTTCTCGTATTAAGTTAAATTGAATAACAAAGTTTCGATATTGGTTCAACAAACTGTTCATTGGACGTGACTAAAGAATATCCGAGCCATCTGATGAAAGAACAGACAAACAGAGACAAAGAAAAGAAAAGTTAGTCTTGTACAGTTTTGACGTAAGACAAGTTGCACCGAGTTAAACCGCCATACTTTATTCTAATGAAGCAAAACAGCGAAAGGTATTTATATTTATAAGATTGTGCGTACATAAAAATGAATGTCTGCATTTGTTGCGTGTAGCAATTAATAAGTAATTTATATGTGTATTTAAAAAAAATCGTTCAATGCAAATGAAAACAAATAAACTAAATTACGTTTATTTATATATATGCTCTTAGTATTTATCACTTATATTTATAAAACATATTGCAAAAGCATTTGAATATATTGCAACTTAAAAACAGACTATTACTGCGTATTAATAGATAAGTAATACATTATTTTGTTAATGGTTGAAACATAGGTATTTAATCTAGATTGACGTATATATGTATGTAGACGTTTTAGTATATTGATTTAGTTTTCATTGTTTTTAATTGATTTAAATTTTATGTTTTTATTTTATAATTTTTTTTTGTATATTTAATATATAAGTTCTATATAAGTCTGTATAAAAGAAAATAAATATTGTTATTTTATGTAAAAATATTTTGGTTCTATTTTATATACAAATTTATCTTGTATTTATTTTTATATTAGGATAGTTTTCCGTGTTATATGCTTTATATTGTGAAAGATTGGAATTTGTATAAAATACATTTCAATGGATCTATTAAGGAAACTGTTTCTTAGAGGGTAAGTGGTAGTATAATTTTTACCATTAATTCTTAGAAATATTACTGTTATATGAAATAGAAAAAATATATCAATATATTGTAAATATGTATTGAAGTATAAGGAATTTTTCAGGTCTACTGAACCTCACTTGGATGATTTAGAGACTGAACAGGAAACAAAAGAACGATGGAGAAGTGTTCGTGTAATTTATTTCACTATGTTTCTAATGTCTCTTGGCTTCAGTATTATACTTACTGGTGTTTGGCCATATTTAGACAAGGTATATGGAATAATACACAAACAAACTTATAGATAGATAATATGTACACCAGCAATCAAAAATTTGCGGTAAAAGGCATAAGTAAAACCTCTTTTGCTCTGAGATTTTCCTGCCTATTCTGCAAACTTCTGATCGTTAATGTACTTATATAATTGTATCTGTGTCTTAGTTGGACCCTACAGCGGGAAAAGAGTTTATGGGTTATGTAGTGGCAGCTAATCCATTGGGACAAATGCTGTTTTCCCCTTTGGTGGGTTGGTGGGGCAATAAAAGAGGATCCGTAAGATTACCGCTTTTAGTCACTTTAGCAGTGTTCACTCTTGCATCAGCAACTTATAGTATCCTTGAAGTGATACCTGGTAACAAAAAATCTTACATGATTGTTGCTAGATTCTTTGTTGGAGTTAGTGCTGGTTTGTAAAATATCTGCACGTTTTGAATATTAGATGTATGAATATATTTATATTTATATATGTACATATATCAATCACATTGTATTTCTTTTAGCTAATATTGCAGTAGCAAGATCTTATTTATCTGCAGCTACAAGACTTTCGGAACGTACACATGCAGTTTCCATGGTATCTCTTGCACAGGTACTTTTTGATGTAATTTAAGCTTTTGTGTGAAAAAATATAAAATAAAAAAAAATAAAAAAAAAACCTAAACAATGTTTTGTTATATTTTGAGTTTTTGTATTAATTTGGCACTTATTCTTATAATTATTACTTGTTTACTTTTATGCAAAATGTACTTTATATACATATTAAGTAACACTAATTTTAAATACTATATTTTTTAGGTACTGGGTTTTGTGGTAGGTCCTGGACTTCAGGCTGCTGTAACACCTTTTGGAGACCGCGGTGTGATGTTTATGGGACTTCCTATAAACATGTATACAGCGGCTAGTTGGATTAATGTTATAATGGGAATATTCAATTTTTGTTTGTTTTTTCCATGTAGCTTTAAAGAACACAAAATTGCTATAAAAGAAGCTATGCGTAATGAAGGCAAAGCTACAGGTAATATAAATTTATATTGTTATTAAAATTATTTTAAAATTTATAATTTCGTGTATTATACTACGGTAACACATAAAAAAATAGAGAAATTTATGCGGGACATATACGTATACGTATAGACTGAATGTAACACTTGACAATAATGTAAGCATCCGTACGACGTTAAATGCACCAACGTCGCGTCTTTGAACGCATATTGTTTGTTTCTTTTGGTATACACGGTGAATAAATATTTGCGCGCGAATGTTACCTTCTCGTCTACATAAAGCGATTTTTGGCGATCGTATGGTACATATACCAAAGTGTACCAAACTATAGTTCGAATGACTTCAAATTACACTTTGGTATATGTACCATACGATCGCCAAAAATCGCCTATAATAGCACGCGCAACGATGAGTTACTGAAACAAAAACAATGGTCACCGAGTATACCTCGTCAACTGTTCGTATCGACGTCGCTACTTCCGAACGTCGTACACGAAATTAGTCAAATCTATAAGCGTCACGAGCTCGTCGTTATCTCACAATTTCTAGTCTAAACCAATGAATGAGTATAAGGCCTTACGAGCCGTTCTCAAAGTGTTNAGCGAGAACTTATACATGTATATATATATATGTATACACATGTAACGAATTTACTTGTAAATTTTTACAAGTGAGTTTTTCGAATTGAAATCTCAATTCTTAAAATCATACGGGATGCTAGATTTGCATCTCACATATGAAAGACCCCGGATACCCCCCTAACTAATTATTAAAATGTTGCGAAAAAAACTCCTCGGCCAGGAGTCGAACCTGGAATCTCCGGCTTACCGTGCCATCGCCTTCCCTGTTAGGCCACCGAGGCACTTGGAGTTAGTCTCGCAATATTCTTATATATATCGAAGATGGTCTGATACTAGTCTAAAGTTCTAAGTCTATGATACGGGGTTACTTAAGTTTATTTATTTTAAGTTTTAGATATTATTTGTGTGTTCTTTTGATTATTTTATTATGAATCTTATATTGGATTGTATAATTTTATAAAATTGCAGAAAAAGAAACCTGGAAGGCTATAAAGCCTGATTATCTAGCATCGTGCACTTTAATTTGGGCGTTCTTTGTTTTGGTTTTCAATTTTGTGCTTCTTGAAACGTGAGTATATTTATGTTTTTTATTTCTTACTTAGAAACAACTTATGTACTTATATATACATTTATTTAGAGACCGCTAAGAAGTTTTCTTGTACAAAATACGCTTAATATATATATATATATTTATCGAAAATGAAAGAATAATTTAAAACATTTGCAAGAGTTGGTAGTAAAAAAAAATTTTGTTGTTTAATCCTATATAACAGAATTTCATTTTATCTTTTAATATAGACTCGGCACTTCTCTCACTATGGATCAATTTGCTTGGACTAAAAAGGAAGCATTGTATTACATGGGATTATTGATGAGCATTGGAGCTTTGATAGCTTGTATTACTTTTACCATGATTGAACCACTTTGTAAGAGGTATAATTATTATATACAGTATCCTTGGACTCTATGTCGTTGATTGTAATGTCATATTGCAATTTTCATGAATAGATTTGAGGAACGTAAAGTAATGCTATGGGGCGGATTCTTTTTTATGTTAATTGGACGAGTGCTGTGTATTCCAATGGGCTCCAGTCTTCCTAAACTAGCAGATTTTGGACGTGAGTTTCTTTATTTTTTACATATATCAACTATTTTACATTTTTACGCTTAAACATATGTAAGTATGTGTACTTTGTGTGTGTGTGTGTGTGTCGTGCGCGCGCGCAATATTGAAGACCGTTTACATCATATTTTTATCATGTTTGTTTCAATATGTTGTAGCGTACAACAATATCACGGTAGATGCCAATGGAACAGAAATCGTTGGCTGTCCAATTAGTCAAGACTGGTGTAGATACACTCCGCAAGTATTGATTACTCCGTTTATGATCGGTTATGGTTTTACAGCTGTGGGTTATCCTCTCGGAGTAACATTGATACAAACTATATTTAGTAAAATTCTCGGACCACGTCCGCAAGGTGTATGGATGGGTCTATTGACTGGTGCAGGTTGTGCATCTCGTGTTGTCGGTCCTGTGTTTGTTGGCCTCATTTATACTCGATACGGAACGTACCACACTTTTGGCATCACAGGTGCAACATTAATTATATCCATGATTTGGTTACAATCTGTAAATAAACGTTTGATTCCACCAGAGCTAAAGAAAAGCAGCGAAGTTTCGGATGTGGAAAGAAAACATATTGAAATCCCGTTAGTTCAGTTAGAATCTAATAATATTCAACCATTGCGCGAAGCTCAAAAGTTTAATGGAACATCGGATAAAGTATAATATAAGATGTGATAGACAAATCTATCGTTGCAAAAGAGAGAGAGAGCAAGATATAACTGCCACAGCAAATTATATATAAGCGTTAACATTGCGATAATAATACAAATTGATTTATATTTTTTATGAATATATACATGTTAATCGTTTTACTAAATATTTTTATACAATTATAATTTTACTAACACAATAACACACATTCGCAAAGAGAGAGAGAAAGCGGAAGAAATGATTACTTCATTTCTTACTAAAATTTTCAATATTATAATTATTACAATTTATATAATATTACAGTAAATAGTGTTAAAATACTTCAACTTTCATACAAGAATATAAGGCCGATACGAGTCATTTCCAGGATGTTCAGCAGGAACTTGAACGTGCATACATATATGTATACATCTATAACAAGTATTACTTGTAAATTTTTTACAAGTAAGTTTTTTGAATTGAAAATTCAATTCGTAAATTCATACGGGATGCGGGATTTGCATCTCACATATGAAAGACCCCGAATACCCCCCTAACTACTTTTTAAAATATTGCGAAAAAATTTATTTTATTTATATTTTATTTATTTTATTTATTTTATTTTTATTTTACTTCAACTTTGTCGAGTACGGTAAAAAGTTGTCACGAAGAACATCAAAGACAAAAATAATTACTTTTCCATAGTATTCATTCTCTGTTGTTTTGTTGAAAAAAAATTTACATATAATAAAATTATAAGTAATTAATTTATATGTTATGTATACATATTGTTAAAAGTACTTTGATTTGTTTATAAAAGTAAAATTATATAAATTGTAATATATCATTTTGTATGTGTGCGCGTGCACGCGTGCAAACTTTGATCAAAAGTTCCCAGAATAATGTACAGATTTAAAGAAAAGTTATAATAAGAACACAGTATATTATATTGTGTGGAATTAGATGTGTGCGCGTGTGTTAGTAAAACATTTTATATTCGATACATGATATGAACTGAACGTAATTGTGCAATCTACTGTTAGGCGCAGCAATTATTATGAGTTATCGTCTTTTTATTTAGATTTGTTTACGAATTGATGTGTAAAAAATCAACTTGAATTTGTGTGGTTCTTAGTGCAACTTGTTTCTAATTTAAGATATATTTAAATAATGGAATGTTATTCAATTTTTTTCTAATACGTATAATGAGTTGCAAATTTCTTGTTTGTTTGTCACAAGTGTGTACGTGCAACATAAATCAATGCAAAGATGTAAAAAAAAAGACAATTTGTGGTTTACTTTTTTTATAGTTTGAAGAGCAAAGACTGATCTAATTACCTACATTTTACAGATGTTACTTTTACATTTGTATACATACTGTAAATTATAAGATCTGTAAAATTTGTAGCTGATGCAAGGTATACGTATTGTTAAGGTATTAAATTTCCCATGAATTTATTACAAGACAATATAAGGAATTGTATGATTGCTATAAAATTGTTAAACGAAATAAAACAATTTACATATGTATTTGTTAAGTACAGAGCTCAAGATATATACATAAACTTATTATAAATTATACGTGTAGGTATTTTTTGTATAAAGAAAATTTGCTTCAATATGCTTTAATAATTGATATAAACTATATACAAATATATTTTGTACTTTTATAAAATTAGACACATAAAAGCACGATTATAATTGTTTCTTCAGTTTTTTTCTTCCAGGTTGTAAGTTCCTTTAGCTACTACCTCTACAAGTTTTCTTGGCATATATGACATTATGTCATTAACTTTTTATATCGCAAATCCTGATAAAATTAGAGCTTCTTTAGACAAAACGCGCGGTTAAGAGCGACGCGGCCAATCATTTTGCTGTTTTACTTTGGGAGAAAAAAAAATTCTAATTGACTACAGCGTTGTTCTTTGTCAACGTTGTTCTTTCATTCCGCTTTTTGGTACGAAAAAGAGACTTGAATCGTAAACTTTTCCATAACGCATAAGATATAAGAGAATCAACCAATCAGAGTCTTTCGAAATAAGAAGTAAAGATGGAAATCTCTGATTGATTGAGATCCTCTTACGTCTATTTGTAATATATACATTATGTAAAAATCCGTGTGCTTCGATCTTTATGGAAAACTAATTAATCGAATTAATTCCGTTCTCAAAATTTATGTTGTTAAAAATGAAACAATGTCAAATCAGTCAATCGATCAACGTGATTAATTAATTTTGCGAGACATTATCTGCGACTCGCATTTGCGTCTTACATAAATAAACTTTTAAAGGCCTTCTACAATAAGATATTAGTAATAAATCAGAAGTCAGAAGCAAGAAATTGATTAATCACAATTAATTATTCTTCTGTGATTTGTCTGTGATTGGTCAATTTCTTGCTTCTGACTTCTGATTTATTAAGAGCCGTCTACAATGGAGAGTTGTAGGCCGTAATAGTAAGAAATTGACCAATCACAGACAAAGTACAGAAGAATAATCGATTGTGATTTGTCAATTTCTTACTGTTACGGCCTACAACTCTCTATTGTAGACGACCCTTTAAGGTATCTTTTCTTACAGCAGCACCACAGACTTCTATAGTATACTAGACCGCTAGCTTCTTATGTACGGCTGGCTACAAAATCTATGTACTTAAGTCGTCATGAAGGGGGAAGATGGAGGTACTGAAGAATGCAAGATGGCCGTCATGTTTGACAGTTGATTGATTTGTAAGGTTTTTTTCTTTGTCTCCCTTATTTCGGCAGCCAAAAACACAACAATATTTTGGCATATTGGTTTTCGTTTTTTTTAATGTGTGCTTTATGCCGTCAACCGCCATATAACCTTCACTTTGTTGAACTGCTGAATTGCTATCTGCGCATGCATCGTCGCGCACGTACATAAGTATATAGGCAATGATTGGATGAACTCTCCTTATCGTCAAAATCAACCAATGAAACCCGCATTCCACAGTACCCCCATTGTACGTAGATTTTGTAGCCATTATCTACGCTGAGATCACGCGAGCTAACGGTCTAGTGTAGTATATAGAAATCTGTGGTCTATGGGTACATATACCAAAGTGTACCAAACTATAATTTGAAGTCACTCGAATTATAGTTTGGTACACTTTGGTATATGTACCATACGATCGGCAAAAATCGCCTTATTTGTTGTTGATGGAATTATATAGTTATTGTATAAGTTATAGTTATTGTATAATTATCAACAATAAAATTTTCCCGGTTTTGCTGCTTTTTTTGGTTTGAACTTCGCAGAGAATCATAGACATATAAGAAATAGACTGCGCGTCCCGTATCTTTTCTGTGCAGAAAGAATGGTCAAACTTCGGACGAGGATAGATGCTTTCACCCGAGTCTCTATCCTTGTTTAGTGACGCGGTGATTGGCGGACAAGAAAAGTAGTAGGAAT